TTCTAAAATATGTGAATTTCTTTATTAAAACTTATTATCGTGGAAAAAGAATTGAAGCAGACTTACCTTTACGGTGAAAAGAGATGCAAGATGGATACTAAACTCCTTCATATGTATCTTTTGACAGTCCTTAACGATAATAGTTTCCAAGGGAGGACATTCCAAAATTTCACTTCCCGAATAGAAGCTTGTCAAGTTAGGCAATGACTCAAGCACAACAGAGTTTAATTGAGGGATTACGACTTTATCACTCACTGCATCCTTTTGCGGTTCCTTTTTGATGATCACTTCTATCAAAGCACAGTTTTTCACTTCTATCTCTTGGAGTTGAACAAGACCCAACAGTATCGCTGGTGTAAATATATATCTCAACCTGTTGCAATTGCCAATTTTCAATGATTTCAATTTGTTGAAGCCCAGAATTTCTTGACGATTTTCCGCCAAATCAAACACTTGTTCTAGTGACTCACAACTTCTTACATCCAACAATTCCAGATTTTTGAAGCCGCATAACACATTGGATGGAATAGCACTTGACATATCTGAAAAGTTATCCACTTCTAATGACTTTAAATTCCAGAATAAGTCGATTGGTGCTTGACCATTCCATAATTTTTCTTTCAAGTTGGGGAATTGAGAGAGTGTCAAATGTTCAGAGTTACGGAAACCAACCTGTGAAACCCAAAATATTGGATTAAAATATTGAATTTTGAAAGACTAAAACATAGAAAAGTATTTGAAGCTTAACAAAATAAATATTTATATATGAATGTCAATGAAATTTTAATATTGGATGTGCTAACTCATAATAACAAATTTCATGTTGATGTAGCAAAAAACTACATCCCTATTCTATTATTATAAAACATATGTAGTCACATCTTGGAATCCAAAGTCGTCTTTCACTAAAAAGATTAAAAAAAAAATTATTATAATACATAAATGTAACAACATTTTGTACTTTTTTATAGCTTTAATAAGTGCCCCTCTATGATAAGACCACCTGAAAGTTGGACATAAAAAGCTATGGAACGATTGAAAATCTTATGCTTCTACTTATTAGACATGAACCAAAGAAAATAGCCACTACATAGTTGTGAATATATAATAACAAGAAATGAAAAAAAAAAAAAAAAAATAGTACAGAATTATAAATCATACTATACTATTCTTTTTTCATGCAATTTTGCACAACAAATATCATTTAGTTTTGTCTTTGTAATCTACTTTGAAATTGTGTAAGAAAAAAAATGTACATAGTCCTAGTTGCAAGTAGTTCTCATAAAAATTTAACCAAGGCATAATGACCCTTATGCAGCAGATTGAGAAAAACTAGATCCTGAATCAAAACACAAAATAATTGCTCAAAAACAACTTAGCGAAAATTTTGAACAAGTATCAATGTACGCTTTTCAAACTTGGTTAGCATGTAATTGATTTGTATATGCCATCGGTAGATTGAGATTTGTGGAATCCTAGAATTATACATTTTTAATTGAAATAGGAGTTTGACAAATTTTCATCCTAGTCTATAAAAGTTAATAGCTCTTGTAGTCATGATTTTGGCGTTGTTGCATCAATCTCTATCATTAATTCAAAATTATAATATAAACAATATCATAAGTAGTATTACAAATCATCATATATATTAGTAGCAATATCTGTAAAAAAAAATATTTATATAGATATCAATAGCAATGTTGTAAAAGGAAAGAAAATGATTTTGTTAAAGAATAAATACCATGTCTATAAACATTTGCTGGATAGTGGAATTCAGATCCTCCTTCCAAAAATATTCTGGGTCATCTTTTCTCATCAATTGTACTCTCTTTAGCAAAGGTGTGCTTAAGACTCCCTGAGAGAAGATCTTTAATTTTGGACATTGACTCACAATAACTTGCTCCAAACAAAGGAATTTAAAGGAATAATTGGTTGGGCAGAAGAATGTGAGGCTTGATAAACGGTAAAGCTCCAAAACTTTCAATTGGCCAAAAACAATCTCTTCTTCTCTGTCTCCCTCGTTTGCTATTACCTCTGTCACTAACTTGCAATCTCTTATTCTCATTGTTGTGAGATTGACAAGAGCTTTGGCTGCTGAGCATGCAAGTATGTTGACTAGTCCATCGCAGCTGCAAGTGTCCAGAGTTGTAAGATTTTTGAAAGAAATTGCGGTTGGCATCAAAATTGTCAAACAATGGCATCCATCTACTTGTAGAGTTTGAAGATTTTGAAGAAATGTGTCCCCTCGTAAATCTTGTTTCCATATATGTCCTTGTTCATAGGGGAATAGCTCTTTCAAACTATTACCACAAAACGAAAGTGATTCCAAACAATTTAACCTTTCAAGGAAACCAGACAGAGAAGCAACAGATTCATCATCAAAGTTACCTAGCAAAAGTTCTTTAAGTTTGCCAAAGCTCTCAGCTAGATCACAGTGAAGGAATGCCAATTTGAAGTCATGTGCATCTAAACCCAACAGTTTCAAATTTGGTATGACCTGAGAATTGATGAACAAGCAAATAAGTAGGTGTTAGCATTCACTCATCAACAAGTTCACCGATATACACAAAAATACTATGATTTTTTCATATATATGGTACAGGTGTCACAAGTTATCATTATTGAGAATGCAAACTGCACTCAAACAACAAACAAATGCTGGAAACTGCAAAAGTTTGTCATGTTTCGCGCCCAAAATCAAGTTGCAAGTCAAGTGGCATAAGGTAGTTAGGCAAGTTGATCAAGTTGTTGAACAAGTTGATTTACTTCCCAGCAAAATCAATGGCAGTCAAGAATTTTTTTGTTTTTCTGTTACAACTCAATGGTTGAGATCTTCTTCCATTTTTTGTTCAGCCATTTACAATAAAAAAGAACATCCCCTGTACTTGAAAACAATCAATGAAAAATAGTTGCCATTTCTGGCTTGTTTTCCTCTTTTTTTAAATTCTTAGATCACCAAACCTTCAATCTAAACTGCCTTTACAATCATTAATTAGTAGTACAACTAATTATAAGCAAGTAGAAAAATATATAACCAGATCTTTAATTTGGAAATAATGTAAATGGAAATGTACAAGGCAAAGGGTCTTATCTACTTTTATGAGCCAAATTTTAATGCAGGAAATAAGAATTTGGTTTATGATGTGTGCGGTTCATATTACCAACAAAATTTCTCCAAATGATTATGTTATTTATATATTTTAAATAAATAAATATGTTACAACGTTAATATACACTTTAAACAAGAATTACATAAATGAACAACAATTTTTAATCAACAAAATGAATAATATCTCACAGCTGAAACATTCAATTGATTATTATACATCAACTCGATGGATTTAAAGAGAAAAAAGATTTTATTGTAACTAAGCAAAAGGAAAGTGCTTCTTGGTTTATTTTCATTTGCAACAAAAACATTAATGTCCTTATGAATTGGAAACTGAAATTGACTGACGCTTAGTTTAAATCTTAATTTTCATTTGGGGTACTATATCATACTAAAAAGTGCGAAACCAAATAAAAGTATCTATGTTATACTACGTAAAATGGAAAATTGGCCGTCTCATAGCATTTGTGTACATATATAATCAGAATAAGCGATGATCAGATTAATTTGAATAATCATAAACATGTTGCATTTTTTAGTGAGTATGGATGAAACTTAAATCATAATACCTTTTCTAACAGAAAAATGGCAGGTTGGCTTTCCCCATCATCTTTCCTTTGGAAGCTAGGGAATTCTGAAGCATATATTTTTATCTTCTTGCAATCATACACAGCCAAACTATCTAGCATTGGCCACTCCGTTGTATGCAACCCCGAGTAGAAACATTTGAGTTCCGGTAAATCATCAAGATGGCAGGCTGTTAATTGTGGAAACAAAAAATTAGGGGCCCCATTAACTTCCTCCTTGGAAACAATTTCCTCCAACCCACAAGAGACTAAGCGAAGGTCATTAAGTTGCACGAGAGCGGTAGCTATAGTAACTGGAAAGAGACTTTTCATACTCCAACAATTTTCAACAATTAACTCTTTCAGATTGTGAAAAGTGAGAAGTCCGTGAGAATTAGATGGAACAATAGTCTTTAACTTTTCACAGAATTCGACTCTTACTTCTTTTAGTTTGCAAAATGATTCCACATGGAGTTGTTGGTTGTGCCATATCAATTGCAACTTATTCAAGTGTAACAGTACCATCACCTCCAAGCTTGGAAAAGCAACCTATAGCAAAAAATCCATGATGTCAATATTTTTGTATAAAAGACCCACAATCTTACAATAAGAAAGATGTCCAAATATTGTGTAAGGTTGATCTGCTCTCAAAACAGGAAAAAAAGAAAAAAAAACGTTTTGAAAGCAATAGGCAACATAATTTTTTAGTATAAAGATAAATCACCTTTTCATCAAAAAGAGGGTTTATATCAATAAAGTAGTTGTCCAAGTTTAGTTCTTCTTCGGGTTCTTCTCTCACCGTGCCTGGATAAAAAGATTTGCAGAAGAATGTCTTCAAATTAGAGCAACCATCAATATGAAGTTCATTTAAAGAAGGGAATTCGATTGAATTCCCGGTGCCAAAAGTCACAAGTTTTGGCAGAACTTCAAGCTTTAGGTAGAATAGTTTAGGAAAGCTCATATCAATTATCCTTTCTTCTCCTTCTTTCCCTTTTGAGTCGATTATTACTTCCATTGACGTACAATTGCCTATCACAAGTTTATGGAGTTGGTTAAGACTTTTGACCATAGAGGATGAAAACAAAAATTTCAAGCCATTACACTCCTCCACAGTTAAGCTTTTTAAGCATTGACTATAAGTAGACATTGCCAAAGGTTGATCAAGCCATGTATTCTCAATATTAATTGAGCGCAGTTTCAAGTTCCCCAATCTTGGAATGATGACCTGTGGAAATAAACCTTGTCCGTAAACATAACTTATAAACTAATAAGAAAACTCTTTTTTACATCAAAATAAAATAAAAGATGAAAAATACAAAACATACCCTCATGTCAGAACCAATCTTTATGAATTGTGGTAGACGTTGTAGTGTTAGAGAACACAATTGATTGAAGTCAATCTTATCATTTGTTTCAATTTCATCACCACGGTCTTTACTTTCTTCACCAAAAATCTCTTTTAGGTTCTTACAATCAGTCACTTCAATTTGTTGTAGCTGAGTAATGTTTCTTGCCACCGAGGATGCAAAGAGATACTCCAATCTATCACATTTTTCTATTTTCATTATCCTTAATTTGCTAAACGACCCTGCATTGAGTTGGCCATGACATATCTTCTCCAAATTAATCAAATTACGAAGGATCAAGGACTCCAATTTGGGAAAGGCTACATTCCAAGCAACTGACTTAATGATATATAAAAGCTCTAGACAATTTTTTACAAGCAGATGCTTCAAATGTGGAAAACCATCCATATCGAGTTCATAAAGAACATTTCTAACACCATTCATTTCCTCTAGAGAAAGATCTTCAGTCATCTTCAACAAATTTTTAATCCCAGGCCCCAAATAAATGCTATTGTTGATCTTGAGTTTGAATGTTCTTGAAGTTGAAAGGTCATATTTACCGGACCACTTCCATTTTTCTCCTATAAATACCTTATAACTTTTCAACTTCTTAAAGAACAAGTCTCGTGGCATAACTCCAACATCCTGAATATGAAGATGTAAAGCTGTTAGGTTAGACAACCGCTTTAACTCTCCAAGACTAGCATTTCTTCGTCCTTGATTATCGACTCCTTCAACCTCCCATTGAACAAAGCTATTGCCCATATATAACTCTTCTAATTGAGACAAGCAGGAGATGACATTTGGTGCAATCTGTCTAAGGTTTAAACAATGGCTCAAATCTAACAACTTCAACCGAGTCAACTGTCTGATTTCTCCAGGCAACTGTTCGATATCAGATCGCAGAAAGCTAAGGATCTCTAATGTCTTTAACTCTCCAACTATTGTAACATCTCCTAGCTGGCACCCATCCAAACACAATGTTCGAATGTTCTTTAGGCAATAAAGTGATGAAGGTAATGATAAGAATTGCATTCCAGTCAAATCTAAAACTTTCAGTTCTCTCATTCCTTCAAAAAAAGTATCCGGAATTTGTAGATTTTTGTTAGTTATATCTAGCAAAAAGAACTTGAGTTTTGGACATTCCAACTTTTCGGGAAGCTCACCATAAATATCTCCAGACGGCAAAGATATAGCAGTTGAATCTTTTTTCTCCTCCAATACTTCCTTCAAGCCAGTGACATTTTGAATATTAAACATGAACTTATCTGTTGAGGCAATCAATATAGCAACAGCATGAATAATGTCATGCATTTTAACTCTGTCGTCATCGTCATCGTTATCCAACAATAAACAAGAAGCTTTTAGATGACCAATCAACCTCTGCAATCTATTCCTTCCTTCTTCTAATGTATAACCATCTCCAAAAAAACTCCAACCCATACTATATTTCAATAAGTCACCTATGGATATACTGCTGCTTGCAGTTACTAGAGCACAAAGAAGAAACAGTGTTTTTGCTTCCTCATTTTTCAAAAAATTGTAACTCAGTTCTATAGTAGAGTACAAAGTTTCATCCATATCTAGAATGCATCTTGGATTGGACCTGTTTAGTTGAACCGAGGCATCTTTCCAAGCGTGAAGGCTCTCACTTTTCAATGCATTTGCAATTGTTGAAATTGCAACCGGTAGACCTGCACATTTTGTAACTATCTGAACTGCTACAGGATGAAAATCAGGGCTTTCTGCAGAATCACCCACTATCTTTCGAAACAAATTCCATGAGTCTCCAAAAGATAAAGGACGAATAGAGATGTTCTTCTGAGTCTTCATATCTTTGTATAATACATCCAGATTTCTAGAAGTTAGCAATATCGTGAATCGCCTCACCTTGTCATCTTTTCCTTGTTTCTCAACTCCCCCGAAAGGAATTCCAATTGCATCCAAGTCGACTTTTGTCCAAATATCATCGAATATTACAAGTACATTCTTCTCCTTCTTTATCCTATTTCGTAGCAAACCAGCTCTCTGATATTCACTCTCCTGCCCAAATTCCAGGCCTAAATCAAAAGCAATTTTTTCTTGAATTTTTTTGTAGTCTGGGGTTTGTGTTACCTCAGCCACGGCCACCTCATCAAACAACTTGTTTTCCTTGGCCAGCCAAGCTACATTTTTCACCAATGTGGTTTTGCCCACACCTCCCATCCCATACACCCCAATCATGTTAACATTAGCATCCTTCAATATGTCCATAATTTCCTGCAAAACTTGCATTCTAGAATCAAAGGCCTCGAAGCCTCTAACATACATGGATTCTGTCCTCTGTAGAGCAGGACGGTAAGAAACACTATTGAAGTCCCCCTTTCCGCAGAGATCGGTGCCATCCATTTTGGCCTTCATTGCTTTTTTGCCAAGCCTGTAACGTTGAATCAAATTAGGACATGACCCCAATTTGAAACAGCCGCCCTTGTAAGCTTTATCTTCATCCTCAATGATGGATTTTGCTACCCCTTCAGTGAACTCATCCACGTCACTCAACCATTTTGTAACAACTTCATAAATCTCTTCCCCCCGTCTTTCAGCAGACTCTACAGGTCTCTGCACCATTTCTTTTTTATCTCTGATCTCCTGAACTTGATTCTTGAGGCCGTTGATGTAGTTCTGGTACTTGAACACATAAGCGATCTGCTGTTTAAGCAAACCATATATATCTGATGTAGCCTCTTCCACAACTTTAGAGGCACCAGCCAGAGCTAATTCTTGAGCCATTGCCTATTTCTTGTGAGATGTTTATGAACACTGGATATAAAGAAAAAAGTGAGAAACGGTTGATAGGAAACAAAGAAAAAGAAACAGAGTTACTAAACAAAACACTTACAAGGAAAGTTAGGTAAACATAATCTAGCTTTAAGCAAACAGATCTCTGCTAGACAAGTGCACTTGGAGCTATATCTCTTTCGGAGCTGTTCAAGGACCAGTAGTTGTGTGTTTGATTATCTTTTCTGCGAGCAAGAATCAAACAGACATGTAGTTATTAATCCCATACATCTGTTAATATATATTTTTTTTCTATTCATTTCAAGCTGAAAATAATTTAAACCACTCCATGGCCTCTATGATAATGTTTTTGGTATTGTTGTATTGGAAATTATATGCAGTATTAGAAACATGATATCTCAGATGGCCATGATTTATGAATATTATGTGCAGATAAGAAATTAATATTAATAAAAATAGGGTAATCTTTAATTAATTACATATTTAGAGATTCCAATACTCTTCTTAATAAAAGTGAAATCAAATGTTAACTTATATAAATCTGGTGTACTAGTATTGTAGCTTTTAAGTAGACAACTGAAAACCGAAGCGTCTTACAATCATCGACACATTGTTGATTCATTATTAATTAAGCCGAACAGAGGGGGAATTTATCTCACTACCTAGTGACTTAATATCTTTTTTTTTTTTTTTTTTTTTTTTTTTAATCAGTTTTGTTTTATATTTAGACAAATTTCTCTAATCCAAGAGCTAGCACGTTCGTCCAACGGGTTGTACTTAAGTGGGATAGATAAGTATGCAACAGTTGAATTAAGTAATTCTATATCTTGTTTCTATCTATCTTAAAACCTTATTTAGCCAATGAATGAGGCAATAAACACTAATTTTGGTACACCCACTAACTACTGCTAATCATCTTAAAGGAAGCGACATATTTATGAATACTGGATATAAACATAAAAGTGAGTAAAATAAACAGAATTAAATAAGCAAAATACTTACAAGGAAAGCTCCGTAAACAGGATCTTAGCTTTAACCAAACAGATCTCTGCTGTCACTATCAGAAAAGTTGAGAACAATGCTGAATATAAGTAAATGTAAATAAAGTACAGAGAATTGAAAGTGAAAACAGGAGTAAAGAAAAAACGCAGGAGAAGGATAAGAGTAAAACAAGTGCAGCTTAATGGCTTAATCTGAGAGTAAGAGCAAAGTATTCAAGGAGCAGATTGAGTGTTTTTTTCTCTTCTTTGTGAGCAAGAATAAGCAACAAAGATTAATAAAGTCTTTGTTTAATTTAAGAAACAACTCTATATTCATACAAAAAGGTCTCGTAGGAATGGATTTTGGAGAAATGATGTTTACCGAGGATTCAACGGTCAACTAACAAATATTTGTATAATTTAACACAATTTGAACTATATAAAATTATAATACAGGTAAGGAGGTAAGCATGTATAATTTATATGAATAAAGAATGACCACTATAATAATACCTGTAAAACAATGGACCAGTCAAATGAAACTTTACTTTAAGCAAACAAAATCACTTATAAAATTACGAGAAACAATATATAGTATTGAATTTGAAACAATCTTAGAGAGTAATAGAAACCAAAGAGTAAACAATCACACCCAAATAACATAAACAATAAAGAGAAAACACATGCGCGATTTATCCTGATTTACCCTAAAAATGTTACGTTTAGTAGAGTCAATATTATTGAAATATCTCCTCACCTCTCTCGTTACAATAAATATATTTACCTATGATTTGTTATATCATTCATACAAGAGAATAATAAATTTATACACTAGGTTTAATGAGAAAAACTTAATATTATTAGGATTTTTTTCCCTAAGCCGTGCCTGTTATTATTGAAGTGGTTAATAACTCCAACAAAGATAACAAAAATCAGAGTATTAAACAAAAAAGATGAATTTATGCTCATTCTTACAACTCATTCTTTGTTATAATAAGATGAACACTTTGAAAATGTGAAAGCACACAAAAAACTCAATGCTCATAGAGCAGATCATCACCACCATAATTAACAAAAACCATATTATGTGCAGATAAGAAATTAATATTAATCTTTAATTAATTACATAATTAGAGATTCCAATACTCTTCTTAATAAAAGTAAATAATAATAATGTGCAGATAAGAAATTATTTGGGATATAAAATAATCTTTTGGTTGAATAAATTAATTAATTTTGGCTCCTTTTAGTTACCTTGCTTGTGTACAAAAATTAATACTATAAACTGAAAAACAAAATAAACGGAAAAGAGAAAGGGAGAAGGTATATATGCTTTCTGCTTTATAAACGGAAAAGAGCTTTTTGCTTTTCTGCTCCATGAAAACGCAGGAAGATCAAGTTGAGTCTTAAAGAGTAATCAACAACACATGAAGAAACAATCAAGAAGAAGCAATGTGTATGATTCAAC